CATAGGGTGGGCGTATGTTTAACTTGAGTAGAAGCTGCCACATACTTTTACAATCCTGATGGTGTGTGAGACTCCTGGCCACCAGCAGGAGCATTCCAGCAGCCCCACCTCCCACCAGCCCTTAGTATTAACAATCTGTTTTGTCTTAGCCATTACATTCAGCATGTGGAGGCATCTGATCCTGGTTTGAATTTTCATTTCTCTGAGAAACTGTGACGAGCACACTCCTAGACTGGTCCTATTGTACAGAGTTTATTCATCTCGGCTCATTTTTTTACATCGTATTCATCTTTTTAAAATTTTTTTAAATTTAATTTATTTTTTATTAAAGATTTTATTTATTTATTCATGAGAGACAGAGACACAGGCAGACGGAGAAGCAGGCTCCATGCAGGGAGCCCGATGTGGGACTTGATCCTGGGACCCCAGGATCATGTCCTGAGCAGAAGGCAGATGCTCAGCCGCTGAGCCACTGAGGCATCCCCATCTTTTTTTTTTAAAGATTTTATTTATATGACAGAGAGAAAGCACAAGCAGGGAGTGGCAAAAGGAGAGGGAGAAGCAGGCTCCACACTGAGCAGGGAGCCAGACGTGGGGCTCGGACCCAACACCCTAAGATCATGACCTGATCCGAAGGCAAACACTTAAGCCCCCAGCCACCACCAGCCCCCTCCTGTGCCCCGTGTTCATCTTTTCTTGATAGGCAGTAATAAGTATTCTCTGTATATTCTGGGAAGAATCTTCTTTCAGATATAGTCTATTAATATTTTCTCCTTTTGCCTTTTTACTTCTTTATTTTTATTTTTTATTTATTTTTTAAAAGATTTTATTCATTTATTCATGAGACAGAGAGAGGCAGAGAGAGAAGCACACTCCACGCAGGGACCCCGATGTGGGACTCTACCTCGGGTCTCCAGGGTCAGGCCCTGACCGAAGGTGGCGCTAAACCACTGAGCCACCCAGGCTGCCCCCTTTTTTACTTTTTTAAGATGGTGTCATTTGTTGAATTTTACTTTCCTTATTTATTTCTCTTCTCTTCCCTTTGAATTTTACTTTCCTTATTTATTTCCCTCCCCTCCCCTCCCCTCCCCATCCCTCCCCTCCCTCCCCTCCCCACCCCTCCACTCCCCTCTCACTTATTTGGGGACAGCCTGGGTGGCTCAGTGGTTTAGCGCCATCAGACCAGGGCGTGATCCTGGAGTCCTGGGATCGAGTCCCACATCGGGCTCCCCACATGGAACCTGCTTCTCCCTTTGCCTGTGTCTCTGCCTCTCTCTCTCTCTATGTCTCTCATGAATAAATAAATAAAATATTTTAAAATAAATAAAAAATAAAAAAAGCTTTTTCCTGCTTATAAAAATAATATTTTCTACCTTGTTTCCTCCCCACAGAAAACAAAAAACAAACAGAACATTTTCATGGAGGAAATCTTAGAAAATAAAGGAAATAAAAATGACTCCTAATCCTGCTGCACAGAGATAAGCATTGTTGGCTTTTTGCTGGGATTCCAGTTTGTCTTTTGTTTTGTTTTTAGATTTTATTTATTTATTTGAGAGACAGAGAAGGAGCAGGGGAGGGGCAGAGGGAGAAGTAGACTCCCCACTGAGCAGAGATCCCAATGTGGGGCTCCATCCCAGGACCCTGCGATCATGACTTGAACCCAAGGCAGACGCTTTCCTGCTTTGAGCCCCCCCTAGTGCCCCTCCAGCCTGTCTTTTGTTAATGTGACTGTCCATTTATTGAGTATCTGCTATATGCCAGGCTGAGGTGGCCAAATGAGACAAGACAAATTCCCCCTTTCATGGGAGTTGTAGCTTAGTGGGGGTAACCTTCAGTAAACATGACAAGTAACTTAGGCATGACGGGGAGTCACAAAGGAAATGACGGGAGGGCTCTGGGGACAGGGGCTCCCAGAAGAGGTGACATCTTGCTGTACTTGTTCATTGCAGTTTTATCATATATACAATGTAATAATGTTTTTCTCTCCTTAATCTCATGTCACAAGCATTTTCCTATGTTAAATACTCTTTGAAAACATGATTTTTGGGCAGCCTGGGTGGCTCAGTGGTTTAGCGCCGCCTTGAGCTCAGGGCGTGATCCAGGCCTGGGATCGAGTCCCGCGTCAGGCTCCCTGCATGGAGCCTGCTTCTCCCTCTGCCTGTGACTCTGCCTCTCTCTCTTTCTGTGTTTCTCATGAATAGATAAATAGAATCTTTAAAAAGAAAAAATAAAACATGATTTTTTTTAAGAATTGTAGAATTTCCCATCATATTGACATACTGAACTGGATCCACCCAGGTTGCTCTTGCTGGCCATTACTTAGGAAGCTTCCAGGTTTCATGTTCCTCTTTTCCTATAGGCCTCCTTCATTCTTCAGGGCAGGTTTACAGAGGTGGACTCAGGAGGGAGAGCTCAAAGCACCTGTGGCCTTGGCTTCTCATGGGGCCCCTGGCTCCATTCAGACTCCTTGTCCTCTGAACCCCTCACTTTCCAGGCACTCACTCTTCTTTTCTGCTCTGATGATTGCTACTAGCAAGGCAGAGGGGCTTCAAGAATGCCCTGTGGTTGGGTTCCAGGCAATGGCAAGCTTTGGGAGGCACAGGATCCATCCTTGGAGACTTCTCCCTTACATGGGCAGCAGGTGGGGCCAGCCATTCTGAGGCCTCCTTCCACCTTCACCCTCCAGCACATGCCATCTGATTATCCCCTAGCCTGGGTGGCAGTGGCCCCACCCAGGTATATCTCTGTGTGATGTTGACTCACTAGCCAAGGGTGACTCAGATTTCATCTTATCATACTTTACAGCAGAGATAAATCCCACCCCCTACCCCCAGTCAGTCTACAATTTGGGTAGAAGACTGTTTCACCATTGGTGGTTCAGAAGAGATAGTGTAGGTATGTCTGGGAAGCCAGAGGCCTGCCAGAGCATTGCCACTTGTCCCATCAAAGTGGCATAGGACGTCCCATCTTCTGGGACTTTAGGCAGTATACTCAACAACCTCAGCTTCCACCAAAATAGGGGTGATGTTAACACTTCACGGGGTTCAGTTGCATTCCCTACATGTGTCTAGTGAGTGTCGTATTCCAGGCACCTGCAACTGTGGACACTCACAGTTGCAGGTCCCTGGAATATAGAGGTAAATCGGAGAGCAGAGCCTCTTATGTTGTCTAGTGAGAGACAGACAGCAAGTAAGGAATGTAGTCAACACGATGATCCCAGGACATACTGAGGGCTCCACTGGGGTGAATGTGTGCTGAGGTATCATCAGCGGGTCAGGCAGGCCTCTGGGTGTCCCACAGGGAGGGACCTCCATCAGAGTTACTTGTCTCCCTCGCCTCATGACTCCAGGAGTGCCTCTCAGCTCCTTCCTTGCCTCAGAGGTGCTCTTGAGCCACACCTCAGATCCCAGAACTGCAGAAGTTCATGGTAGGTGATATCTCAGTGAGCCAACTGTCCAGACCCCAGCCCTCTGCAGGTCTCCCCCTTTCCCCAGCTGCTCTACAACCCTTTCAGGAAGTATTCACGGAATGTCTTCTGCATCAGGCACCAAGGAGCTGGTGGGAATAAGACGGCCATGGTCCTGATCTTAAGGGACATACCTTCTAGTGGGGCTTGGCAGTTAGCAAGAAAACAAACCTGCCAAGGTAGCTTCTCAGGGTTCCAAGTATATGAAGAAAATGGCATGTGGGGCTGAGGGGAGTGCCCAGGATGTAGAGAGTGGTGAGTGGGGTATTCCAGGGAGCCTTCCTGGTGAGGGAGCTGAGAAGTGTTGGGTACCAGCAAAAGGGAGGCAGCATGTGAAAATCTGGGGCCAGAAGGTCCCAAGGATGACCTGAAGCTCTGTGTGACAGGGAGAGAAGGACCAGACCAGATGGCACAGGGCCGTGAAGACCTCAAAGTGTGATTTTGATTTTATTCTGAATGCAGGGAGGGTTCCCTAGAGGCTGAATGGATAAAACTTTTAAAGACCTTTCCCTATAGCAGGACTCAAAACTGTCCCAGGTACTATGAGGGAGGGGATAGCAATGTCAAACCTGGGCAGACTCCTGTGTCTGGAAGAGGTGTGTCCCTGCCAGCCACTAGCCCTCCCCTGTCCTCCCCTGTTCTAGCCTCTTAATAAATAAATTATACTGCATCCATAACCTGGCACACTGCACAGCCACTAAATGATGCCATGGTTGTAGATATATTGGCATGGAAAGATATTCACAGTACATTGTTGAATGAGAAAAGCTGGCTTACAAAACAGGAAACTATCACATTTTTATTAAATGTTTATATGTATTCACATATTTTGAAGTTGAGAAATGAAAAGCAAATGTTGGATGGTAGGATTAAGATGGGTTATAATTCAGCTTCTGTTTTTAACAACTTTATTGCGATAATTGATATATAAGCTGTACATCTCTAAAGGACACAATTTGATAAGTTTTGACACACACACACACACACACACACACACACCTGTGAAATCATCACGTAACCTGTTTTTTAATTCTGTAAAGTGATAATATTATGGATTTTATTTTTTTTATTTTTTTATTTTTTTTTGCTTAAAAAAAAAAAAAAAAGTCTATCCACCATTGAACTGGCTGAACCAAGGGGCAAAGGAATTGGTATCCACTTCCTGAAGGTGAGGCTGTGGCAGGCAGGCCGGCCTTCAGGAGCCTTGAAAGGAAGGGATGGATACCGGAATGGACTTTATTTTTGTTTTAAAGATTTTATTTATGTACTTGACAGAGAGTGCACACACAAGCAGGGGGATCAGCAGGCAGAGGCAGAGGGAGAAGCATGGAGTCCAATGTGGGGCTTGATCCCAGAACCCTGGGATCATGACCTGAGCCAAAGGCAGATGCTTAACCAACTGAGCTACCCAGACACCCCCAGAATGGACTTTGGATCCCTTGTCCCTGGGACAAAGTGGGTAGAGATAAGCTGGGAGGGGAGGTGCAGGGTTGTGCAGGCCTGAGGCATCTAGTCTCCCCTTGTTTGTCCCCAGGAGGCCTTTGCAACCTGTGCCCAGACAGTGCCAACAAGGAGCACATCCTGCAGACAGGGGGCATCCCACTCATCATCAACTGCCTGTCCAGCCCCAATGAGGAGACTGTGTTATCCGCTGTCACCACGATCATGTATCTGAGCTCGCCAGGCTCTGGCTCCCACCCTGACCTGACTGCTATGCCCGTCGTCCAGTGCATGCTGCGCTTCTCTCTCTCGGCCAACACAAGGCTCCGGAACCTGGCCCAGATCTTCCTGGAAGACTTCTGTTCCCCAAGCCAAGTGGCAGAAGCCCGCACCTGGCGGGCTCACTCTGCCTTGGGTATCCCACTGCCAAGAACTGAGGCCCCACAGCAGCCCTGATCCAGGGGGACCTCATAGTCATGACCCCCTGACTGCTTAGAGAGGAGACCACAATCCTAGTGGAGGCTCAGGAAGCAGGAGCAGCCTGGCTCCCACTGAGCACGTTCTCTCCAAATGGTGCCCTTTTGGCTATTTTTTTTTTTTTTAAGATTTTATTTATTTATTCATGAAAGACAGAGAGGGGCAGGCTCCATTCAGGGAGCCTGACGTGGGACTCGATCCCAGGTCTCCAGGATCAGGCCCTGGGCTAAAGGCAGCGCTAAACCACTGTGCCACCGGGGCTGCTCCTCTTTTGGCTATTTTAAAGGTGAGTTTTCTCAGCACGGCAGATATTTACACTGTGGTGAGAGGCACTGATGAAAGAGGAAGCCAGACTTGGAGATGTGCAGGAGAGCAAAGGCAATGCCGTTTCCATAGGCTGGCACTCTCATCCAGCTGGAGGTCAAGGTCCTGCCTCCCGCCCCTCAGCTCCGTCCTGGTGCCCCACTGCCAGGCTCTCAACTTCATGTGAGAAGCATCTGGGACTCTAGATTCAGAGGCTTGCAGAAAGGCCTTCTCATGAGGAGCTGGGCCTGGGATCAGAATTGCTTGTGCTTGAGGAAACAGGAATTCTCCTATAATAGGAATATCTGAAGTAATCTTGAGGAATAGAAATGAGATGCCAGCTCAGGGCTCTGGGAAGGTGCCATGGCCACTCCAGGGCTGTGCAGGCTGGGCACTGGGTATGGTTGACACCAGCCTAGAGAACTCTGGCCTGGGATCAAAGTGTTTATCCACAGAGGCCTGTCAGGCACCATGGGTTTCAAAGATGAAGATGTGGTCCTTACTCTTTTTTGTTTTGTTTTGTTTTTAAGTGAAAGTGGGAGGAGGAGCAGAGGGAGAGGGACAATCAGACTCCACACCCAGGGCAGAGCCTGACATGGGGCCCTATCCTATGACCCTGAGAAAACCACCTGAGCCAAAACCAAGAGTCAGATGCCCAACGAACTGAGCTACCCTGGCGCCCCTACTCTAGGGATGCAGCCCATTGATAGTGAAGGTAGGCCTCAGGCATTAAGACCACCACCATGAGGATGAGGTCATGTATGTATGCTTCCCTCACCACCCCATGGCCCCAGCCTGAAAGTCCTGGTCCCCCTCCTCTGCCATCAGGATTGGGTTAGTGAGGGGGAGTCCCTGCCCCTGGAAAGGAGTCTCAGACTCAGAAGGGCTTCAAGAATGCCAGTGGTGCTCAAAGGAGACAGAGGACCAGATACCAACAGAAGCATGTGGTTTGGAGTCCACAGTGTACATTGGTCAGCACAGGGGAATGGTGTGGGGCCCCCATTGAAAGTTGGGGTTCAGGAGCAGTGGGGAGCTTCCTGGCCTCCCTTCTGCACTGCCTCAAGGTTGACCTCTACCATGGCGTCCAGGTGGTTGTGGACATGGGCAGGTTCTGGAGCCACTAAGGACGGGAGGAGAAAGCCTCCTATCAGCCTGTATTCAGCTACTCCCCCAGGGCTCTTGTCCCTTTACTCTCCCCCCAAATAAAGGGCCTTTGAAGAGTGGTGAGCCAAAGTGTTTTATTAAAAAGGTTCTTGGGTGATTTTTCCACCCTGTTTCCTTGCCAGCCATCCTGTTCTGTTCCAGGTGGCTGGCTTGTGAGCACGGAGGTTACCGTGTCTCCCTGCTCTGCGGTGCTGGGGGCCACCGCCAGGACACTTCCCTGTCATCCAGCTGTACTGGGGTTCCCTCTGGCCCGCCTTCCCTTCCTTCAGCAACTATCCACTATTTCGGCCCCCCGCTTGCTGTCTATGATCTCCCTCCAGTTGTCACTCCAGGAGAGCAGCCGTCTCCTTGTTGGGGGTAGGGCTAGGTGCTGGTTGTGGCAGCAGGTGAACAAGATGTGCTCCCACCTTGGGGTCTCCTCTTGGCCTGGGATAGGACATGGGAGAGAGGCGGTGAGATGCAGTCTGTAATCTGGTTATTTTTACTCCCTCTCCCTAATCCCAGCAGGCCAGATGCCTGGAAGGTTGCCAGGAAAACAGGTCTAACCTCGAATGGTGTCCTTGTCATCAATGAGCAGGTCCCCCAAGACCATCGTCTTGTCCCTTGTCAGGATAATGCGCTCCACAAACTGGGGGCCCAGGTGATTCTCCACCCAGCGGTACTGTGGGGAGGATACAGGTCTATCAGTGGGGCCAGTGGGTAAACAGGTGGGAGTGGGGTCTCCAGCCCTTGAGAGATGCTGCTCTCCTCACCCTCCCCGCCCCCCCCCAACTTCCTGTGTTTCAATTCTGGTTTATTTTAAACATCAGAACATAGGAAGCTGTTGGCTCTGAAGTGCTGGGGTAACGGCACCTTCTCACCCACACAGTGCTCATACTTCATCAGGGGGCTGGTGCAGATGAAGACCTCGGTGCTGCGTGGAAGGGGCACAGGTTAGGGTTAGGGTGGCACCTCCCTCATTCCACCACCCCTCCCTCTCTGCCCTTCCTCACTCCTGCATGTTGTTCATCTCCTGCAGGGCTTCCAAGGCTCCAGGGATAGGCTCCAAGTCTAGGAAAAAGCCTGGGGCTTCATACACACTGGCCACTTTGTCCTGAAAGATACCATGTTCTTATCTCAGCTTCTGCCTCCAGCAGATCTAGCCTCGGGGAGGACCCTCAAAATAAGATTCCTGAGGGGCTCTGGTCCCCAGATCAGAGCTCTAGGAGAGGATTTTGTTTATGGGACAGCATTTTTCCAGACTTTCTTGTCCAGGGTGAAAAATGGACTCTGAAGTGAGGGTTTTGTTAAATAGGAGGGGGGTGTCTCTGGAAATGGAGCAGAGGCGGTGCTGCCCACGGGGAGGGCGCCCCTTCCTAGGCGCCCTGTGGGGGTGGGGTGGGGTCGGGGCTCCCGCTCCTGAAGACGTTGTGTGGTCAGGGCACCTGGCCTCTCCCTGGCCCGGTTCTCAGGGACGGTGTGGGGTCGGGGCTCCCGCTCCCGGGGACACTGTGGGGTCGGGGCTCCCGCCCGCTCCCGCCATGCCCGCCCGCTCCCGCCGTCTCCCTCCCTTCTACCGCCAGGTCGGGTCGCAGGGCTCGGTACTGCTCGCGGGCGAGGAAGCCGCGGCGCTCTTCCAGGGCCACGTGCGGCTCCCCGGGGAAGCGGCGGCGGAAGCCCCGCAGGAGGCCCGCCTCGAAGTCGGCCAGCACGCCGTCCATGTCCACCAGCACCCGCACCGGCCGCGCGCGCCGCGCCCTCGCCGCCGCCATCGCCGGGGCCCGCGCCGGGGAGGCTGGGGGGGCGGGGCCCGCGGCTGCCGCCGGCGCGGGCGGGGCGGGGCGGGGCGGGGCGGGCGGGCGACCCGGGGCTCATTTGCATGCGGCGCCCGGGCCCGGGCCGGCGGGAGCGCGCGGCCTCCAGGCGCCGTCCTCGGGGGCGCGCCCGCTCGCCGCGCACGGGCCGGGAGGGGACGGGACCTCCCGCGCCGCCCCCAGGGCTGAGCCGGCCCCGGGCTGCCGACCTCGAGGCCCGGGGTCCCCGCCCCCCCCGCCCTCCCCGCCCTCCCGGCCCGTGGGGCGGGGCGCGGGAACACGCGGGACCCGGGCCCTAATCCCGGGGGCGCTCAGTAACTTCGAAGGCAAAGGCTGAAGCCCCCTGGCTGGCGGGAGCGCCCGCCCTGAACGTCCAGTCCCCCCGGAGGAGCCCCATTTCCTCCGAGCGCGGGGGTCGAGGATGGGGAACGGCCCTCGGCTCCGGCGTCGGCGGTCACAGCCCCGTCCAGAGAACGCGCCGCGCCGCGGAGGCCTGTGGATGCTCCTTTGTGGATTTTACGCGGTCCTGACACCCACGCCCTTACCCACCAACTATACACTCAGACTTAAGCGACGGCTTCCTGTAGTTCCCCTTCCGAGCACCCAGCACCTCCGAACCCGTGTTAACTGAGGCATTACAAAGAGAACAGTGTCTTGTTCTAAAGGGATCAAGTTAGGGCATCCGGGTGGCTCGGCGGGTTAGCGCTGCCTCAGCCCAGAGCCTGATCCTGGAGACCCGGGATCGAGTCCCACCTCGGGCTCCCTGCTTGCGGCCTGCTTCTCCCTCTGCCCCTCTCTCTCTCCCTCATAAATAAATAAAATCTTTAATCTGAAAAATAAAGTGATCAGATTAAAAAGCCTTTAATAGGTAGAGTCAGCATTGGCACTACGGAGTCCTCCACTATTTCCCCAACTTCCCACCCACATCACACAACCAGTGTGGAGTCCAAACGGTCAACGAAATACACTGATTGTTCTGCCGTCATCATCCTAAGATCATGCAGCTCCACTTACCAGACCCTAAGCTAAGTGGAAAATATAACACTCTTAGCAAACGTGTTTACATAGAATTTCCTAAAATCTGTTCTGGCTGCCAGAACTGTCCCTTCCCTCACTTGAATTTTGATTCAAGCTCTTATCTTCAAAAAATTAAAAACAAAAAACAAAAAACACTGACCTTACTTACAAGTTGTGACAGAAATCAGGACATCTATCTCTTTTCCAGGATCCCCATTAGAAGAGTGGGATCCAGGATCCCTAAGAGTCCTAATAGAAACTGTAACTCAGGCTAGTATTTGTAGGGCTAACCTGTTTGGCTGAAATTGGACAGATCCTGTAACAAAGCTGTTGCTCTCCATTTTGCAAATGCTTTCCATCATGAGGAAGAAAGACATTACATCCCCAGAACCTATAAACACCCTATTCTTCCCAAAGAAATATCCAGTATTTCAAATGAGCCACTGGTTATGATCATCTCAAAGGTCTCACTTTTTAAGATGGGGAAATTGGTCCCTAAATGACTAAGCCAAAAGAACAGTTTAGTAGCATAGCTAGACCCTAAAAGCCAAGTCTTAATGCCCAATTTGGACATTTAATACATCATGTTAATCTAGGACTTTCTGCCTAGAACCCAAAGAGCTTCTGTCTCCTCAGATCCTCATCTTCCTTCCATTGGAGTCCTGTTGTAATCTCTCACCACTGAGAGGCCCCTTGCAAGGTGAGAGGACTTAAAATCCTATGTCTTACTACCCAGCACAAAGGGTAGGTGGATAACCTAAAGGATATTGGCTAATAATAATTTTATCATTTATCACGTATAACTCGTGTATTTTTACTACCACGGATATCATTTTGAATTCCTGCTGTGCCTTTAAACCTGTTTTCTTTAGAGAATGTTCTTTATTGAGAGAAGCCCAACTTCTCTGGGACTTCATTAGTCTGTTTCAACTCTAATGACTCATCAATCCTTGCACAACAGGATTGATAGTAACAAAGAAAAACAGTAACTCAACAGGTAGAACATTGAAACAGTCTCAAAAAGATGACACAAGACACCATGTTTCAAAATTTGTACATTGTTTACTTTAAGCAACAGTCCAGGATTGTGAAGTACAACACACATTTTAAAGATGAGACTTCAGTTCATGGTCAAGCACCAGCATCATGCACACAGCTTCAAGTTATCTAAGAAGAGCACTGCCCCCTGGGGGTCTGTTCACGACGAAGACCCACTTCTGTGTGGTCACCGCCCTTGCTTGCTTACCACTTGGAATTTGTCAGTTTGAGCGTACGTCTAAGCCTTCCTCTGAGTGACAGCGGCAGGCTTAGCTCAGCGGCTAGTTGAGTTAGTATCTGGCTTATTTTTTAAGGTTCAAAAATTAAAAAGGCAGTTTTTTTTTTTTTTTCTTTGCAGGCAGCAAGGCATGAGGCGCAGGCCTCTATTGTTCTGTATGGCACAGGAAGATGCTTTTAGCAAAGGGTACTCACTAATAGGTTTTGGCATAAAGACAACCCTGTGTTTGGGGGCCTGAAGATGCCTGCGGACTGTTTACTGGTCTGTCCAAACAAGGCTTGGTAAACCCAAGTAAAGCTGACAAAGAAAGGGTTTTAAAAACCTCAGTACAAAAGATCCTCTAACACATTTGGAACCAAATTGTTCTTAAAAACACTGTACTAAGTGTCACAAAACTTTCCCTCCAATCTACTACTAGAAAACACTCATGCCATGGCCTACAGACCCAGAGGAATCAGGACAGATAGAGAAACCTGTTCTTAAAAAAATTAAAAATAATAATAATAAAAAAAAAAGACAGCAGTACATAAAGTGCTTCTTTTTTAATGAAACAAATCCAAAAGATGTACAGTCAGGCTCAAGTTGTGCAGTTCACAAGCATGGAGAAAACAAACAAACAAAACGACAGAGTTCAAGAGAATCAGAGCTAACCCAGGACAAGGCTGGACTTGCCGCCAGGGGGGTTTCTTCGGGATGGCACTGGGGCCGGTGCCACCGGGCTGGGCACAGGGGCAGCGGGCACGGGCTTCTCCTCACTCTGCCCCAGGCTGGCCTGCAAGTCTGTGTCCACGTTTTCTAGGAAAACAGAAGGAAGTTAAAGCTAAAAACTATTTCCAGGTAAGATGAAGAGTCTAAGATTTGGAGGGGGGGATGGTTCAAATCATACCTAGAGAAGAAGGCAACAATCATTCAACCATGTCCCCCAAACTAACGACTGTTAGTCTTTTGCCATATTTGTCCTCAGGCTTTT